ACCAGACTACAGCGTTTTCACACAAGCCTGCGAGATTTTTGCTTTACCTTTAAAAAAGGGCAGATTTCCAAGTTTCGGTAAGCAAGACGAAATTGGCTTGGATAGGTTTCCACGTTCAGCACGGTACGGATCTTTCCAGTTCCTTCAGCAGCAAGTGCTGGAAAGAAGCACGTCTCAAACGAGACTTTTCACAGCTAGTCATGCTCACGCAGGGCTGGTTTCAGAAACTGCTTCCCCGCAGCTTTTGGCTTTACTTGGCAGCAGCCGATTCCCGAGGCTTTGTGTGGAGATCCCCATCCCAATGGAAAGCATTAAGAGGTTCTGTGAGGGTTGGGATTTGTTCAGATCTCCCCTAAAATTGCACCTTATCACGAGCTGCCCCCAAGCTCCAGCCCCAGCACCTCCTATCCCAGCGGATACTTGCTCTGCCTCACTAGGGAACCTCAGGGATAAAACAGGGAGGGGAGGATGGGAGCTGGAGGCGGAGTGACTGAAGTTGCTGGCAGGAGAATTTTTAGAGGCAGAAGTCAGAAGAATAGCTAGCAGAGAGTGAAATCAGATCTGCCTTTCTCTTCAATATCCCCCTTCAGGGGAGGGAAAAATCATTCCTGAAGGCACCCAAGGACAACCCCAGAAACAGGAGCTGACCTTGCTCTGCAAGCAAGCTGCACCACGCCATCTTTCCATGCATGGTGCATCTCACCCCAGCTCCCCAGGCTGACCACGGCGGGTCAGGGACGGGTACACTATGGGGGGGAGTGCTAAAACACTTAAGCTTCCGAGAGCGCCGCCTGCTCTGCTCCCATCAGCGGGAAAGGAGCCTGAGACCTGGGGCAGCCCCACGGAGCCCACACAAGGAGGGCTGCAGCCACATGGCAGAGATGTGCTAACCTGCTTTGCCCATGTCTAGTCACAGGACTGGCAAGATATTAAGGGTTTAACATCTGCCTCTACACTCCTAGAAGCTGCAATAGATCTGAATCTTTCACTCTTTAGCCATGAAAGCCTTCATGGAAACCCATAGCCACTTCCATCTGCTCCAGAACAGATGAACATCTTAGCTGCATCTGGTTTTGGAAGATCTCAGCATGGCTTTGGATTTAGGCTGTAACAAGTCTGAGGGCAAAGAAACCAAAGCCTTTAAAGTATCCAAGAAAGTACTTGAGAGTCACAGGAAAAACATCAACATGGAAGAGAGGAGTATGACAACACCACTCCTGGGTAGGCAACACGGCACTCCATGGAAGGGTTCAGCCTTTAGTGAAGGATGTCCAGTGCAAGGCTCTCCTCTAAGGGAGACATTGTCCACTTCACCACAAGCAGCATCGTTTTACAAACCACTTGAATTCTAAAAGAATCAATTCCCAACCAGGTACCAGCATCCAGGCTGGGACAGGATAGGGAGAATATGTGCAAGGAGACAGTGCAGGGTAGGAGAAGCATTCAGAGGAAAACAGCCTGCACTTGGCTGGCAAACCCTACAAGCCTTGTTTATGCTCAGCTCTTGGCAAGCTCTGCAGAAGTAAAGACTGCAAGATTCTGGATCAGAGACTCATTCCCTGTGACTTGATTCTTACTCATTAGCTGGCTATAAACAGAGTTAAACAAACCAGCCTGCTCTCACCACTCAGTCTTTTTATAAAGAGTTGAGAATTCCTACAGATGCCACAGATCCATCTGTGGATCTCAAAGCACTTGACGACAAGTTGAGTTCAGCCTCACAACACCCCAGTGAGGTAGGTATGACAGTGGTCCCCTGATTTACACGGAGAGGGGAAACAAGAGAGACCCTGAAAAATAAAACATCATAAAAAAACCCATCCCCAAACACAGGGAATACTCAGGAGTCCCAATTCCTCTTTTAGTCTGTCCTCACCCCTAAGCGGGCTGCATCTCTAATGGGACCATTGGAGAGGTCAAGTCCTCTCCTTCAGGTTTCAGGAGGCAAAGCATTCACGCTGCTGGCACAGGGCAGAGTATTTCAGGGAGGAGCTGCCCCCCGACAGCGTCCTCTTCGGCGCCAGGCAGGAAAGGCAGCGCTGAACCTCCGTGCACAGACGAGGAGGCGGACCCGGGGCAAGCGCGCGCTGCTTCTGTCTGGTTCTTCACGTGTTCAGGGATTTGACGCCATTAAGACATGAGTTTCCTGAGCAGATACTGTCAGACGACCCCCCTCTTGTGGGGGAAGGAAAAGTGAAAGGGGAAGCAAATCCTGGGAAAGTAAGGAAGTTTTGCAGAGGCGCCTGTGACAAGGTGCTCTCACGCACATGGCACACCCAAGCTCCCGGCAAGGTGGTTCTTGTTCTGGCTTCACAGAAATGAGCCGATTCAGCCACAGGCAGTAGCCTCCACATAGGCATTAAGTGCTCCATAGTCTCCTAAGCTACTCCCAGTCTCTCCCACCTTGCTGGTTACATGCATCAAAAAAGCCAGATACATGCATCTCTAGGAGAGCCAAGTGTGACATACTAGATGCTCCCCTTCCCTTTTTTTTTTTTTTTTAAGGAGGGAATCAAATAATCTATGTTTTTCAAAATATAACACTGCAAAGGCCACAGTCAATAAAGGAGTCCCCGTACAGACTACCAGCAAGTCTGACCTACAAAGAAACCCAAACGCTAAGTTTAAAGAAGGGAAGACTCTACTCACTTCCCATCCTTTAAGGAATGTGGGCCTGATCCCATCAAATACTGCACTATCTTGTTTGTTCACAACCACGTCCTGCACGTTACATGGAGAAGACAGGGTCCAGGTGACTACCATGCACTTGTAAGAAAGCGCAGGAGACTGCAGGTGTCACTTGGATGTGGAATCACCACTTCGGACCCTTGCTCACCAGGGCGCTCCCTCAATCCCAAGAGGACTATCTGCAGGTGCTGTTGGGCATGCAGCTCCATTGCTGCTGAAGCTGGAAGAGGCTGGACCCCCCTGCCTTATCCCAGCATCCCTGCTTAAGGTGGCTGCTCCCTCCCACCGACTTGTAGTAGGCACCGGCCAGCCCTCACCAGCCATGACACGCAGGACTGGCCCCACTCTTAGCTGGGTGACCTTGCGCTGGTGGGAGCATGGAGCCAGGTCCATGAGCTGCTGGAAGAGCCCAGGGAAGGCCTGGGGAAGGCCAAAGGGGATAGGAGAGGCTGTCACAGCCCCCCTCGGAAGACAATGCACCCTGGCAATGAAAGGCACTGGCTTACGTACCTCGCTGAACTGGGGCCCTCTGCGTTAAGACATCCAAGTCATCAGATCCTGCCTGAGAGAGGTATTTGCACGAATTGAGAATGAATTGAGCATTTGCATTCACACACGCAAACCCACTGCCATAGAGCTGGGGGGTGGCGGTTGGTCTCAGAGGGACCCGAGGGAAGGCAGCCTTGGAGCTGGCTCCAGAGCCACGCGATGCCCTGCGCCAGCAATCGGACTTCGGACACAGCTTGAAGGCTCGTCGTTACAAGCAAACCTTCCAGAACCCCGTCAAACTCGGGTGACGCTGGGGTCGCATGCGGAAGCTGCGCCCATGGGCAGAGACAAGCAAAACCGCATCCCTCCGGAGCAGGCAGTCCCGCAGTACAGGAAGGCCAAGGAAGGCAGGCAGATTTTCAACATTCAGACGCAGTTTGGCGTTTCTTAGCCGTAGCTGAAGGCGTAGGGTGGGGAAGGACACGCCACAGCGCTTCCAGCGCACAGCAGCTCTCCAAAGCGAGCGCACGTGGCAGAGGTCAGCCCTTCCCTGGCTCCTCTCTTTGCCCGTCTTTCCTCCAGATGCACTTGAAGCCGGGGGGGGTGCATCCCTGCCTGCACCCTCCTTCCCCTCAAAGAGGCTGTCAGGCGTAGGGAGGGTCCGTGATTTATCTCAGGAGGAGCCAGCTCCTTACCTGCCCTGTCCCAGTGCGGCTACGCAGCCCTCGCAGGTGCAAAAGGAAGCGGCGGTATAAAGCGGACCCTGAGGAAACCATGGCTGGAGAAACACGTTCAGAAAAACCAGTCAGAAGGGGACAGAAACAGGGAGCCTTGGGAGTGCCCAATGCTCTCTTGAACGTCCAGGAGAGACGCAAGCAGGAGAGAGGGGAGGGGGTGAGAGACAACAGGGTGCTGCGCCACGCAGTACAATTTCACTAACAAGCACTGGTTAAAAAAAAAATAAAGAATATATAATTAAAAAAAAAAAAATCAAAGAGCTGCAAGATGGGCTGATCCAGTTCGAGGCAAGAGACTTCAGAGACACAGAGAGCAAAACCATCCTGCTGTGCTCATACAAGTCCAGCACCGACAGAAGAGGGCACGTGGAGAGGAGGAAAAGAAGAAACACGTCCAGGTAGCAAAAGCAGCGAGGCGAGAGCGCGGGCGCGCACGGCGTAAGGCAGCGCTCCAACAGAAATACTGGCGTTGCAACCGTGCGGAGAAAGAGCGAGTGTGAGATTTCCAGTATGCCTGGAAAGGAGGGGGGGAGGGAAGGAAAAAAAGCTGTTCTGTCTCCAAGGCTGAGCTAACCGAGCCAAGTCACCCTGTCGCCTCTTAAGATATTTCTTTCTAGATAAGATATCTCAACTCCCCCCTCCCCTTTCCAAATAAAGTGCAGATGGTCAAATATTACTGGTCCATCATCTGCCAGTTTCAGTCAGCATTGGGGAAATAAAACCCAAAAGTACAATATTGAAAAAAAAAAAAATCCCCAAACAACCCACCCTCAAAATCCCTTAGACTGAAGTCTCAGACTGTAAGCGGAGGACGAATTTATGAGATTTAGGGTCTATGAACTCTTCCGAGAGTTTGATGAAGGGGATTTTCTTCACATTAACAACAAGGCTGAAGTCCAAGCACTTGAGGACAAAAACAACGCCGTCTTGTAACCCGCTCGTGACCGCCTCCTCGCTGACCAGCGTCCACTGCTTGGAGAACCAGCGATCCCTGTCGTACTGGAGGGTCGGGCCTGGGTTGAGGTACCGCTCCAGGAACGCCTGCCAAGAGAGGGACACGCGTTAGCGCCAGCCCCGCCACGCACTCCGCATCGATGCTCTCCTCCCATCCCCAGACGCAGCTCCCCCAGCGCGGGCTTGCCACGCTGCAAATTGTTTCGGCTTCCACGCTTCAGGAGACATCCTCTCCCCAGTCCCTCCCAGCTTTTCAGATGCCAGGAGAAGACAACCACCAGAAGATCGATCCTCTTCCACTCCATCCCAGCAAGCTTGCAAAGTTAGAGCCCCGACTTCTGCTGTCAGCGCTGCTGTCTGGCAGCAGTTCAGGAGAGCAGAGGTCATTTCTCCCCTACCAGCCCCATGATCCATCCCGAAACTGCAGTCCTAGACAGGCAGATGGGACAGCTGGCCCCCCCCTCCTTCAGGCCAAGCTAAGGTGGAAAGCAGAGGTTTCCATGTTTGCAGCCTGACTGAGGCTGCAAACATGGAAAAAAACGAAAGCAGAACAGGGAATGTTGTTTGACATCACTTGTGTTTTAAAAAGTCTCCTGTGCAACCTTAACGGCAGCAGAACTCTCCTAGGCATACCTGGGGGGGGTCCCAGGTGGATCCCAGTGAGAGGGTGCTACACCCCATCTCTTCAAAGCATTTCTGCTCTTAGTGTCGTACGTCCTGGGTAAGTGTTCAGGAGTAAATCCTTGCGTTTCTAACCCTTCTCTGGGATTGCGAGGTGTTTTTAGAGAGGAAGGTGGAGAGTGGGAGCGGAACTGGAACGTTTCCCTTGTGGTTCAGTCCCTCTCTGTGTCTGCAAGTCAACAGACACAGTCAGGGCGTGAAGCAGCAAACTGACGTTTGACCACACAGCCTGCGAATTGGAAACGCTGTCAGACAGGCAGGGGTTTAGGTGATAATTAGAAGCAGTCCCAAACGCAGCACTGCAGAGGGGACACAAAGCCCCCAGTAACAGTCCTTTGCAGATTGCCACCTGCCTCATGCCACGAAGCATGAGCCAGCTGGGACAATTCCCCGTGACTCAAGGTCACTGTCTCGGACACTTCTTTGGTACTCCTTTTGCTGAACTAGATATGAGAACAACTATCTCACAGGCACTTTCAGGTAAAAAGAGATAGAAGATGCTGTAGAGAAAACATTACTTCCCTTTAAGACCTGATGCAACCTACAATGCACCGATCGTATCACAGACAGCAACTATGAAAACCTCCACTCACCCTCCCCCAACAATTTTCTGTTCTGCGTGCACTCGCAGATGCGCCATCCCCTTCTCCCTCCTTCCTGCACCAACGTTAGGGAAAGCATTACCTTTGGTGTCATGTTATTGGTGATGCAGAAGGACAAGTGTTGTAAGATGCTCTCCATGCTGTGGTACTGTTGCTGGCGGGTGGTGCGGAGGTACTTCTGCAGAGCTCTTGCCATGGAGGGGAAGATAGCCTGGGCTGCTTCTCGGGGGTCCATCATCTCTCCTGGAGCTTTCTGCTGTTCCTCCGCCTGGAGGCGTTTGATGTGAGTGAAAGCCTCCTCTACTGCAACCACAAGCCTGCAGAAGGAAAATCGGGATGGCAAGAGTCACAACACGAGAAGTAGGATGGGTCTGTGGTTAAGGCAGAGCCTGGGAGTCAGGATTTACAAGCGCATGTTCCCATCTCTGCCACCGACTCACTGCCTGCCATCAGAAATCTTACAGAAAATCTGCTTTACTGACAGTTCGAGGGGTAGACAGCAGCTTTTCTTTCCTTGCCCAGGCCATCCAGCCACTGAGGGTCATAAACCAGGACTAAGACTTTACGAGCCGGAGTGCTGTACTCGGTTCTGCCAACACAGCATGAACATCAGCTGCCTGACTCAAACAAGGCACAGCTGCTCTTGCATTTAATGCACGTCTTTGAAAACAACAGTCCCAGCATGCAGTACTGCAGCATGACCATCAGGACAGGCAAGGAGCCGGGAAGAGGCTGGCTACAAACCAGCACGACCCAGGACACAGGCTGCTCCATGACTCTCCGTGCTCACAAGCTGCGGTCTGCTCCGATTTACACCAACTGGGTACAGACCTCGCAGTGCTGGACGATTGCTCTGCACCCCTCCGCACAACAGTGATGGGCCTCCCACCTTCCCTCCTAACACTGCAGCTAGAAGCATCCTCTGCAAACCATCCCTGCGTTGGCACAGGTGAGCAAACACCAAGACCACACCACAAAAAGGCAAATGAATGCCACACAACACTTGCACGTTAGCCCAGTGCTAAGCTACAAGCCAGGGGCTGCACCACAGTTAGTGAGGAAAAAGAAACAGTAATGGAAAAGTCACTGAACAGAACTCTTTCGTCCCTCCAGACAGGACTTGTTTCACACATGATTTCCACTCAGGTCACCAACTACTGTCCACACGGCCCTCAATATCCAAAGCATCTTGAAGCCAGGGGAAGCTGCCTCAGGACAAGCAGAGGTACAGCACACTGCGTTCAGACTAGATGGAAGGAACAGCACGAGAAGCCCTCACCCCTGCTCCTTTCGTTTAATTTCACTTGGGGGAGGTGGGGGTGGAAAGCAGTTCCTAATCTCCCTGTGTCTTTCTGTTGCAGCCCTGACCTTTCTCCTTTGAAACATCTGGCCTGGTCTTCTAGTGACTCATGGTTTTCCTCTGACTAAGCAGCTGTTCTAACCCAACTCAGCAAGAAAGGGAGATGTGCCCGAGTTTGGACATCACGCTGCACAGAAAGGAAAGTTCAAGTTCCTATTGCTCTGAGGCTGGAAGAGAGCTGGAAAGACAGTGGCTACAGAGCACAGGTCAGACCAAAGCAGGCTACAGGGGGGACACGGTGCCAGCACTTTCCCAATGAAATACAAACTGCCAGAAGAAAACACAAAATAAGCCAGCTCCTTCCAGTTACGGCACATTCCTTCCAAACACGGCTCAGTTCGGGGGTGCCTGTCCGTAAGCAATTTGCCTCAAACCGTTAGGTATGTTAACTACAAACTGTCATTAGGCTCCAGAGCAAACAGAGGCACTATCTCGGGTCACCTCAACAAAGCATCAACTCTGCAGCCTAAGCATGACCGGCAGAATGAATAAATAAATCCAAACAAATAAAATCCAAAATAAAACACAGCCGCTTCTGGTCACGTCTTTCTACCCCAACTCATCGAAAAGGGCAGTCAAACCCCTCCTCTTAGTTGACTCCAAACACAAGTATTCCCCTTACCCACGGACAGGCAACATCAAGTGCTGCACCGATCCTGTCCTTGGATTACATGAGCTGAGGTGACAAGCCTGGGCATGGGGAAATAATGGGATTTCCTACAGCAAGTAACTACGGATTTGTCACTGTTCCCTAATCCGTGACATTGCATTAGCTTATCTGGGGTAATATACACGAGCTCTGCTTTATGCACCTTCTTCCGACGATTCCAGCTGCAAGCTGTCACCGTCCCTCGTGTGTCCGGGTTTCGTACGCTCCTTCGCTGTGACAGATGTACAGCCAACCCCTGGCCCTTCATCACGGGTCCCCCCGCCCCGTCGGGCTCGGCGAGCCCCCGGCGCCCGAGCCTCATGGCACCAAGGGAAGGGATGTCTTTACCTCGCACGGCGTTTTTTCACTCGGCGCTCGTGGTCGGCTTCTTCGTAGTAGAGCTCGTTGTGACTGGAGTCCCTGCGACGGGCCGCGGCTGCTATCATGGCACGGGACTGCCCCGAGGCGTTGTTGCCGGGACCTTCGGGTGGTGGGGATGAGTGAAAAGGAGACGAGAAAGGCAACGTTACTGCCACAGAGCTGGGGCTGGGACAGAGCAGCACCCCGCAGCATCTGTCACAAGCGCTTTGTGGCTACAAACCCTTCCCTGGTCCTCAGGAGCTCCAATGGAAACCCTGCTGGACAGCATGGGCTTAGAGGGGAGGCTTTGGCTTGTGGATGAGGGAAGTTAGTCAGGATGAAGGATCTCACACAACGTACACAAAGGCAGAGGTGAGGTGCACATGCCAAGGATGCAACTTACCCCCCAGTATATATGTTTTCAGTTTGAAGGCAAGGGCAGCTGGAACACACATTTCAGCAACGAGACAGTGTGAGAGCACCAAGAGGAGAAAGACAAACACAAGAACAACAAGAGACGTGGAGATGAGTGAGCAAAAGCCAAACTCCAGACTGTTATACGCAGGGAGGAAAAACAGGATGCAGAGGCAGCAGGGTCACCTTCAGACAAAGCATAGGGTTTTCCAGAAGGGCAGATGCTGTCAGAGCAGCAGTCCTGCAATTAATAAATAGGTGGGCTACCCTAATAAATAGGGTAGGCTGGCGTCTAGATGTGCAATAGCTTCTCAAGGCACTCCGAGCAGCACCTGCCATGACAGCTTCTGTTGCTGTTAACAGACCCTACACAGCTACAGGGACAGGGACGCCTCAGTCTGTTCCAACACTCGGACAAGTGACGGAGCTGTCTACTACAGAACCTTGACTAGTGA